GCTGTGCCCTATTTCGCTTACAGCAGTAAACCTACTTCAAATCGGCAAAAGATGAACATCAAAAACGGCAAAAGCAAAGTGAACATTGAGGGAGTCTTGTGATTGTCAATCAGAAGGAATCCACTACGAGAAATCATATTATCGTAAGGCAGGTATGATTGTTGGGCGACCGATTCAATCCCTGCTCCTTGAAAGCCTGCAATGGAAATGGTTGGTTCGATAAACTAGTTATCTGGATCCCATAGTTAAAACGGTGGCCTCTCAAGTTCACACTTTACTTCAAAGAGTTGACATAAATTAAAGTGAATAATGATAAAACAGTGGCAGATTTGTAACAAAACTAAGGTACTTGCTATAAGAATTCAAAGTGTTATTTAGGGGTAGGCATTAAGAACTCTTTTGGAATAAATTCTCTCATTTAAGGGGCAATAAAATAAAGTAACTGCCAATTTGCAATGAGGTTAAATTTGCACGGAAACTCTTAATAAATAATCGTAATCATGAGCAATGGAGTCATTTGCATTGCCTCAGGATTTTCCAGTATAAAATGTTTGACGAAGTTTAACATGCTGTGATAAGTAAGCATGATAATAAACCGTTGTTGACTGTTGCTGGACATTTTGTAAGATTTGCGTTTTAAAGCACTTGTGATTGTGATCCCTTTCGCGTTGAATAATGCAAAAGGGATGTATTTGTTGGAAATTAGTGATACCACTTTGAGTGATCAGTGAGACATCGAGACTTCTTACTGGTGACATGTAATGCGGTAGATTTCCATGCTCGCGTGCGCTTTTCTGCTTGCCCGGAGGCTCACCTCCTTTACTTTACTGCTAAGTTGCCACATTCACCTTTAGCTCTGTTCCATGCCTTAGTTATTTCAGGAGAACAAATTTGCACTGCCATCCTTTAATCCGACATGCCGAAATACATCGTTGCACACAAATGCAGGCTGAAGGTCCTCTCAGTAAATGAAAAAAGCATGGAATGCTCCTCACCATTGGAGGTACACTTTAATGCTTGAAGAATTTTGTACAAGAACGCAACGCCGTCACATGCTAGAAGGTGGGTCAAGTTGAACCACCCACACTCTCATTTGAAATGGGAAGATGTAGAGCCGATAATATCTTGCGAGTTAATCGTGACAGGCGAAATTTGTTATGAAAACCTGAGGAAGATTCGGTCTCTGCATTTGACACACGAATTCGATGCCATCAACCAGACGCCTTGCATCAAAATAGTGGATATTTTACTGAGGAGGAGTCGTTGGCTTGCCTTCTTTCATTTTGCTTAGGCGCCACAGAAATGCCACTGAATCGAGGGGTGGAAGAATTCAATCAATTGAGGCGCAATAAATGCTAGTCAAACGCCCAAAAGTAAATGAAAGAAGGAGGCGAGTGAGAATGTCGAATGAGTCCTCCACAGCAACTATCCACCCACTCTCAGGTACATATTTATTGCAGTCCCGGGTGTGAGAGGTAACATCACCTGCAAAGCAAAGATCTACCAATTCATGGACTCGCAGCATCACTGCTGCATGGATATTTGCGCATCAGCGACAACCCTCCAAAAGGTGATCTGGTGGAGTACGTGGGTTAGAAAGTACTGAGTCATCTTAAGCTACATCAAAACAGACATTTTTATGTGGCTTGTGAAAGACTTTGTTAAATGAAAGGAACTGGAATAAGACAGTCCGTCGAGTAATGGGAAGTTCTTGCACTGCTACTTCCTCATGCACAGGTTCGCTCCTTTGTTTACATGATCATCATGCTCTGTGTCTCATGCGGGCTCCAGTTCTTCGTTGATCCATTCAACAGTGTGCAGGTTGTTCAAGTTGTCTTTAATTTACGGCACTACAAACTAATGCGCCTCCATGTAGGATTCCACGCTGAGGTGAAAAGTGCCATCCTGCCTCATCACATGTAGTGGCTCCTGAAGTGAGGAGGTAGTGATCTTCTGCCTCCCCGTCAACTGCTTAAGGTAAAATAATGGCATTACTCATGTGGTGCATGAAAACCGCACTTGTGCATTGGCCACAGAATGAAAAAATGCTGCCTTCACTTCAGGCAGTAAGACCTGGTATTGTTTCCATAAACTGCTCTTCTGTGGTGAACGATGTGAAGTTTTGATAAGGCACACCCTATGAACTAGCGAATAAAAGTAAAAGCACTTGAGAGGTTGCTGAAGATAATATGCACGAGGTTCATGTAGGCCACTGGTAAGAGGTAGAATCTTCATAGAAGATCAAATGATTGCAAAAATTACCCGATGCACATCAAAAATAAAGAAACCATCAACCGAGGCCTGAATGCAGCGTGTGAGGAAGGTCAGCAAAGTGGGCAACCGCAGGTAGCAACGGAACAATTTTAATTCCAGGTCTCATTCTCCCTGATTTCAAGATTGGAACTAAATCATGG